CCCCAAAACCCCAAAACCCCAAAACCCCGTCAATTTAAATTAGTTAAAATATTCGTGCTAATAGTATTTAGAGGAAAAATATATTTAAAGTAAAGAGAGGAAATAATGGAAATACTGAATGTTGACAGTTGTTCATATATATTGGCTTGTATTGCGGATTTGCAATCCAAACTCAAAATTTTATAAAGCCCCATCGGAGTAGATTAGGAAACTGAAATCTAGCGGCAATTGGATACTCATTAAATATAAGTGAAAAAGATTATAAATGTATCATAAATATTTCCTTCAATTAATATAATTCTTCTAGGATTCATATAATCTTTTTCGAGTGATCAGTGAGTAGCTGTATGGAACCGATATAAGATACTAGGAGATTTGCAGCACCTTGAATAAATTCAAACTTTAAAACTCATCTGTAAAGTTACTACGAAATAATGGTTTCAGGTATTAGATTTGATGCATCAATTTAATCGGGAGAGAGATCACAATCTGTATGATTAAAAATTAAATTAAGGAAACTCAGGGATTGATATTTTTCAAATCTGCATAGATTTAATGCTGATTTCTCAAATTTATTAGAAAAACTTATCGATCCTATATTTTGACGGAAAATAAACACAAATTCACTAAATAGATCTTTTTTAGAGCTAAAAATATTTAAACCTTTCATTCGCATTATTCTGGAGCGATGGCGCTATATAGAGTTATGAGGACATTAATACTCAAGCAATAAGTCAGCTATGTTCGAATATTATGAAGGAAATATGTGAGGAGGCAATTGTAAAGGGAGAATACTAAAAAGCATTAAATCAAGAAATTAGGAATTATGATTATTACCTTAATAATGAGGACCTCAATAAAAATGAAGGATATGCAAATTAGAGGCTATTAGGATCAGGAGTATTTAAAAAAGAAATTCGGTTGAAAAATACGGGATCTGTGAGTTCCTTTTAAAAATCATCATCACGAATAATGTAGAACTTCGGTTCACTCATAGAAATGGGTAGTATAGTATCCGTTTCTCACACATCACAGACTTCTATAATTGAAAGCGAAAATGAGAATTCGAATTCTAATAGGGATGCTAATTAGGATTCTCGTAAATAATCATCAGATTCCCTGTTTTAAATGATCAAAATTAATGGTAATTAATCCTAATAGCAACAATAAAACGGTGAGCAGGGTAAGATCAACAGTGCATCATAAAAAATAGATTTGAAAGACGTCATAAATTAGGTGGGTAGTTTAGTTGAAGATCACGAAAAGAAAATGAAGAGCTTTAATCCTCAGACCCATTCAAATCATGAACTTGATTATTGCTCGGAATCTGATTCTCTTGATGAAAATGATCTTGATAAGAGTAATGGCTTCATCATAGAGGAATATATACAGCAATAAAAGCAATTCGTTTAGTCCACGCAATAAAAATTACCTTCATCATAGTTTCTATAAACTCAAAAAACGTCAAATAAGGGTCTGGAGTATGAATAATTTTACTAACAAACTCAGAGATCAATTGAAAACGAACCGAAATCAACAGAAGAATAGGAGGAGGAAGAAAAAGTTAGTTACTCATTGCTTATCAGAGGTTCTGGTGATTCTAATGGCCAGAAGTAATCATGAAATAAGTTTTTCATTTGATTAATTTAGTATTTTAACTTAATATAGCAAATTAATCTTAACTCAAATGAAGGTTTTTACATTTTTCATTTCTATTACCAAAATTCATTCGATTAATCAATATTTGAATTAAGGGGTTTTGGGGTTTTGGGG